CGTTTTGAAAGAACTTGCTGGAGAGTTTGAAAGTTTTGTTTTGTCGACCATTGAAAAATATTGATGATCACAATGTTCGGTTCTCGAACTATGACCCTAATTGAGCTCAAATTTGGCAAAGCAAATAAAGAAAACCTTTAATACATAAAAGAAAGCAAGAATTGGTTTTTTACTGAAAAAGAGTAAAATAGAGTATATCTTTAAAGATCAAGGTAGAAGCCTAATGAGAAGGTTGCGAAAAGAGCTGAAAAACTTATAGATCGAGACGAAACGGCGCGATGAGCATGAATTGTGTTGTAAACAAGATAGGACTGGGCCTAGATAGCTCGAGAACACGTGACAAGGAACACGTGACAAATAGGCGTTAGAGATTGTGTAATCGGATCATTCAATCAATCAGTTTTCCTTTATCTAGTTCGGAACGGTTTTCAGTATCTCGGAACGGATCTCAAGTTTTAGGAGTCGATCAGTCTTGTACGGAAAATTATCTATTATCAGATTAAAGAGTATGGTCATTTCATCAACTTGTATAATAATGAGAGACTGTTGTCTGAAAAGGAGAACAAATTATGGATCACAGTCCGGTTTTTTTTTTCTGAATAACGAGTAGCATTCAAGCTATCATCAAAGTTAATATCAGATTGTGTGCTTTGACTCCGGTAGGATATTCAAGGTAAAACACTGTACTGCTTGCTAACCTCTAGGTCGAATCATGACCGTCGAATCATGTCTAAAAATCCGGGTGTATACTCAGCACTGAAACCAGCTGTAAAGTCCCTAATGGCAAATTATAGGTCGAGGTGTTCAATGTTGCTTTTTTGGATGCAATAACGACCGTGGATGTCCTCACAGCAAGGAATAATGACGTAATACTCGAAATGTAAATTTTGCATGACTATTAAATCGTCGTCTCGTTTTGATAGAATAAACAAACTCTCGCATTAAACAAACTTTACACGGCATTGTATTTGTTTGCCCCCGTGAAAAACCACGCGACATTTCTTTTATCCCGTCGATCCCAAAGAGCGTGCAAAGATGGCGGGTATCGAGAATAAGGTCATCGCCGTGTCAGTAATTACATTAAACACCCGCATATAAGAACACGATTTCGGAGGTCAGGCTGATTGGGTTCTTATTTATCGGGTGCTTAATGACAAATCAGCCTCAAAATGTTCTTAAAATGTTCTTAAATTTTTATTTAGTAATACTATCTAAAACAGGTTGCTAGAGGTATATTTAGCATATTTTAGGAAAATTAAACAACTAGTTATTCTGTAATTTGATTATATTAACAAATGAAGTTATCTGACAGCAAACATCAACTTACATTTTTTGTAATTATGACACCTTTTCCATTTTAAAAGAACGTGTTACAATTTTCAGGCTGATTTTGTTCTTATAAAAATGGGGCTTATTGGCCAAATTTCAGCCTGGTGTTCTTAATCCATTTGTCCTTATATGCGGGTGTTTACTGTAGTTGACGTCCGGAAAGCCGGTACCCCTGAAAATCTGTTGGGGTGTAAATGCGGCCCAGGGTGACCTAACTGTCTGGTTTACTTGTATTTTCTTCTTACAGAGTTACTATTTTGAAAATCTAAACAGTTTCTAAAATTTACTTTGTTTCTGGTATTCATTCTAACAACTGTTCACACCTCGGCCTCAAAATACCTTATTCTATTTGCTTTTCGACAACATGAATGACCGTGATTGTGCATGATTGACCAGGTTTATTCAAACCAGAGCACGCAAAAAAAAAACTCATCATGGAGTTGTGCTCGTGGGCATTTCTGAACATAGTTTAATTCACGCCCTGATCGCAAAGTACAAAACTATAAAATCCGCACGGCTAATTTTAATACTAATAATGAGTTGAAATTATTAACGTGTGTAAATAAAGTTAATTCATTCATTTTTTTCTGTCTTCGTGAAAAGGAAATAATCTGAACAGAATGTACACACTGTACTGTGCTTACAGTGGAAGCAAGTACTTTTTTTTGGTACAGTTGATTAGTGCGAGTCAGGCCTTCTGCGCAAGTAGCCTGAAATTCATCCGATTGCTTCGAGTCGTTTTCTCCTCTCAACAACGTCTGAATCGACCGGCCGTTAATGCCGTCCAGTGACGTCACTCACTACCCGAAAACCGAGTAGTGATTTTGATTGGTTGATCGTCTAAACATTCGCATAATTATGTATAATTATGAAAAATTTTTGCGGGATTGTCGCTTGATATTCAGCGGATCGCATCCCTGGCATTCTTTCGTTTAGTTCAAACATTTGGATAAGGTTAATCTTTATCTTAAACAGCAAAATTGCCCTTGTCTTCGAAACTGAAGTTCTAAATTGAACTGCAAATGAAGAATCATTGCGGAGAGTCGGTAGGTTTTTCATTTAGAGCCGCTTTGTGGTTTCGGCGGCCGGTGATTTTGTTTACGCGAAGTTTTCTGAGATCAATGTTATAATTCGACCTTCTTGCTATTTTTACCGTCAAGGGTAATGATTCTGTTAGCTTTTCTTTCTTGTCTCCTTGTTTTTTTCTTCATGAAGGACCGAATAGCTTCTTTTCAATTAAAGCAAATCATTGTGTTTTTGAACTGTGTTCCGTGTGTGTTTATTTCAATTGCGTGATTGCGACCAAGTTTGATTGTAGAATTTAGTTCAACCGGTTCAGAGTTGTACTGCATGTAGTTGATAGTTTGAACGTTAAACATGAATTACCATCGAAAAAAATAAAGCAGTTCTGCATCATGCAGACATTTCCAAACGATATTTCTCGGTTTCCCACTTGGAAATCTTGTTTTACTTTTTGCATGAATTAAAGCAAAGGTCAAGGAGTAGTGACGTCACTGGACGGCATTAACGGCCGGTCGATTCAGACGTTACTGAGGGAGTATTAGGGAACTTAAGAACCACGACGAAGTTCACGACGACGACGTCTGTTGACTGGGAAAGGACTGGAACGAGAACGTCAGTTTCGGCGGGAAAAAGGAAACTTAAGATGCAGTCGATCGATAGGCCGACGACGACGACCCTGAATGTAAACAAACATGTAGAAGTAGTACAACTGTGATGTTCGTTCGCAACAAAGTTTTTTCGCAAAGGCGTCTTTAAGACGATGCAAGATCTTATTTTATAAGCCGTACGTCTACTTTCTTTGACGATGAAGAATTTTTAGTGTTGTCTGACCTTTTCGAATTGAAAAATCTCTGCTTTCCGTACGAAGGTTATTCAACTTTCAACCTGAATGACATGACTGAGTCCGAGTATCTGTCAGAGTTTAGATTTGGAAAAAGAGACATTCCGATGCGATAGCTGTTTTCCATATAAAGTTCATTTCCTCTATATTGAAGATACATGATTTGCCTGACCTAAATACGTACAAATAAATTTGTCACTTACGAGTTCGCTCGCTCAGCCTGCACAGCTCAGTGTTGTCTTCGAAGTAAACACAATTCATCAGTCAAATTTTCAATCAACATCGCTTGAAAAAAGAAAAGATACCTGGATTTACGAGGTGAAAAAATACAAAGGCCTTGAAAAATCGCTTAAAAACAGGGAGTTATACCTGCCGAAGCTTGTGGACTGCAGGACGACGTGACTCTACTGTGTTTGGCGTCGTCGACGACAACACGACGACGAAATTTGTTAACCGCGCTTGCGCAGTGCACGGTATCTCACTTCCGGTCGTCGTCGACAAAGTCGTCGTCGTGGTTCTTAAGTTCCCTAATAACGACTCGAAGTAATCGGATGAAATTCAGGCTACTGCGCAAGAGGCCTGAGTTTGATTTCCACGTGTTACCTCAAGTTTTTCTATCTACTTCTTTACCTTCGGTGTACCTTCAAGAAGCTTTTAATACCAGGAAAACTGAGCCGCACTGGTTACTGAGAGAATCTGAAGCGCACCGTCGGTCTCAGCTTTAGGGACTTTAAGATAGGTCACTACGGTAGGCTGGGACGGTTGGATGCGTATACGGGTGGCCTGGGGCCATGACGGTAAGAAGCCGCGAAAATTTTCAATTTAAGATCGGACAACAAAACAGAGGACGGTGAAGTCATGTGCGAAACTCGCTTGTCATTTCTTTCGCAGAAGGCTCAATTACTGAAGAAGAGTTTTTTATTTTATACGAAGAATACCAATCAGAGGAATAAGGGTACAAATTAAAGCTAGCTAGTTTTCAAAACTGTAGTCGATGTTTTTATTTGAACTTTCCTTCCCTAAGCCAACACCTTTTGAGTTATAAGGAAATGTTTTCTTGATAAAAATACAGTTTTAAGTTATACAAAAGACGACTACAATCATCACTGTTAGGCCCAGTTGAAACGTCGAACTTCTCATGTGCCGAAACTAAAGCACAAATTACTAAAATTTATTTTCACTTGTTTAAAGCATCGTGAAAATGAATCGAGTTCGACTACACTTTAAGTTCGACGCCTGAATCAACCTCGAACCATTTGGGTCGACCTAAATAGGTATTAAGTTCGGTACATGAAAAGATTAACGTTTGAACTGGGTCTTACCTTTCTTTTCGGCAATTTTCCTCTGCCATGGCGGACGACACTAGGTAGAAAACAAGCAGTCGCCATGCGGCCGCGAGCTAAGTTATGAATGAACTCAGATATTTTCGCTTTCTTTTTCATTTCACCGATGGGTAAATCAATGTAAACACAAGCCAACGCATATTTAACCCATTGGCTACTCAGTTTTAGAAGAAAAGTGACAATAAGTACGCATGAACTCTCATCGGTTTCACCGTTGTCTTCACGACGAGAAACCCGGCGAAAACATACCGTCCCAGAAGGACGACGGTAAAAGGTCACGCGTGTTTTGCGTGACGTGACATCTATCTAACCGTCCCAGGCGACCGTAGTCACCTATCTTAAAGTCCCTTTTGTTCGATAGATGACGACAAGCTACCGACGTAAAATAAGGACGCTTTACCTTTACAAAATATTGTCTCAGTGAAAAGACTATTAGATTGTTTTTCGGTTTCTATTCCCCTCATAGATGCAGACACAATATCCAACCCAAGCCGTCCATCTCGAAGTGCCTCCACAGTACCCACAGTTTCCTTCCATGCCATCAGCCCATCTAGAAAGCCATGGAGAAAGGAAAGTCTGTCCTCAGGAGGAAAGTGTGTAACATGATATTCATTTTGAATACAGTCCTATCTCCCGATACAATATAATATTTTGACTATACAGTTAGTTAGTCCTTAGCCTGTTCCAGGCGTTCGGATAGTGAGGAGCGGTGCGAAGTAAAAAGGAGCGCGAAGGAGGAGAGGTGAGAGAGGGAACGCCTGTAAGATTTGTTTTAAATAAGGCAGGTACAAAAGTCGGACCGGATCAACTCGGACCGCCAGTCCGGGTCGGATCAACTCGGATCGACTCGGACCAACTCGGATCGAATAAAAAAAATAAAAGTAACGTAATATATAGATTTAGCCAGGGCTAAAAGCGAAGCTCCCGTTAATAAATTCATAATTTAAATCGAACATTAAACTTGTAATCCACAGATCAGGGCACATTCATGTGACTTTTGAGGCAAAGGCTAAGTGAGTTTAGAGAAAAATAATTTGACAGTCCAAGAGTGAAACAAATTTTACATCGAGTTAATAGTCTTAATTGCACACCCAAAAATAGCAATCATGTTCAATCACAGTAGATTAGGCCTGGAAAGTGTATTGTATTTGCATTAACTGTTGCATCATAATGTGGCATTCACCAGTCTGTCCAACACTACTCCGTTTGAGAGACTAATAATTGGACTACCCCGAAATATAATACTATGAAGGAACGGTGAAGCAGACTATTTTTCCCGAAACTTTGCGTACACATTAAGGACAACAACAACTTGCCACATGGTAAGTCTCATCGATTTTTTTCCATTTTCTAGCAAATTTCCAGACCTAAACTTTGCCCCATGTGTTCTCTATATTTAAGCATGTTATGAAATCTGAACGTGACACTAACAGTGAGCCTGGGTTACCTTTGATGAAAGCACGCCCTTCCTTTGCACAGCAAATTATAGCATTGACCACATTATAAAACGTTTTCATGAACAGAATTCCATAATGCCGGGACTTTTCAGTTAGAAAATTCTGGTCCTATGTGATATGCAGGGTAATAATTATGGGCTTTTAGTGAAAACGATAAAAAAATTCCCAAAATCACTTTTTCGGCCAGCCGGACGGGTTCTCACTTTTGACAGGCACCAAATTTGCAGTGCGATTAAAAGAGTTACCATTTACGCTTCAACATGATAGAGAATTTGTTATGTTTAGGTTTCATTCCCTTTATTTATAAAACTGTTCATGGTTTTGTCATGTGTAATCTTTAAAAGCGAGTGATAATTTAGCGCGGCGTCTTGAGTATTCCTGCATGCGATGTTTATGTTCGCCTCGAAACAACCGGTACAGCTATAAAAATTGCAAGAGGGACTACTAACAATCAATAAAATAAATGTAATTCGGTGAAACATGTACAGAGACAATAATTTTCATTCACGAAGACAAGTATTGAGAGTAAAGTGTCTCTGAAAATCAAGAGTCAGGTAAGCATAAGCTTATTTATGTTTTAAGCCGGCTTCCCGGTGCTTGCTCTTTTTCAAGATGAACTCGAGGCAAGAAAATCGTTCAGAGCTTTCTGTTTACAACCAAAATCACAACTAAATATTCTTCGGAACCTTTTCTTTGAATCTGCGGTCAAAAAAATGTCTAAAGGCTTTTTAAACCTGATACTATTGTAGGTTAGTGCTCGTGTATAAACAATACGCTCGACTTCAGGAAACCGAAAAAAAAAACACATCAAAGACAATAATTGCTCCGGCTTATCGGTCGAGATGCTGCTTCTGTAGGTCATCAAGTGTTCCAGAATCGCTTGAGACTTTTCAACCCTCTTACGCCTCAAGCAAGGGCAAGTGAGTAAGCTCATTTTTGAAAACGATGCCATCCGAAATCGGATTTCCAATGACTTTGACAAGCGGTGCATTTGTCAACAAAAAGCACAATAAACAAACCAGCCATGAATTACCGAACAATCTTGGTAGCAGCTGTATTTCATTTTGTACAGCAAGTGGAAAAAGACAGTTTAAAACATTACAAGATGGCACAAAACTCTGTCAGCTTCAGCTATCAGTAAGCAAGTTTCCAGACGCTGCATAAATTTTCCGAATGAACTCACCTGTCAAATTTTGACCAATCAGAACATAAAAATTGGACGTAGAGCGTGATCAACGCGGACAGTGAGAAAAGTCAAAAACGATTGCCTTCCCTGCATGTAAAGGCCGGTTGAATTTTCGCGTCTGCGGTCAGTTCGAAATCAAAATTTTAAAAGTGCGGCTCATGAACACGACTTATTTCATACCTGCATTTTAAAAAAATTGAACTTGAGCCTGCAATCATTTGAAAAGTAGCAACTTGTCAGCGGATAACTTCAAAAAACACTCGAACTCAGTGGGTCGATACCTGAGCCCGCGATACGGTCAGGCGATACTGGTCAGCAGAAACACTATTTTGACAGCTGTCAATTAATCAAAACATGGATGTACAATATCAGGTTGCAGGCTCCCAAACTAGCTGGAAAGTGTGAGATTAAACATTGGTATGCCTGTCGTGCGGACGGACGGGAGGTCGGGTGGTCGATGTACGGTCACGTGATTGCGAATTTTCTCGGATGGATAAATTTTCTAAGCTATGGGTGACCTCAATGGATAGAAAAATGAGCCCGCGATACAGTCAGGTGATGATGGTCAGCTATACTCTAGTTTGACAGCTGTCAATTAACCTTCATTAGAATGGCGAATATTCGAATTAACAGACTACTAGTGTGAGTAAGACATATCCGTCCGGCTTGTAGTGGAAAATGCCAGATCGTGTACCTGAGCGAACCTGAGCCCACGTTATTAGTTTTCTGATAGTGGTCTTCACATATCCCATTTTGACAGCTGTCAACTGACCTTAATTTAGCTTGCCAATATAACTTTAAACAACGGTCAGCCGACTGACAGCCCTGCCCGAGGTAGTTTCGTTTTTATGTTGAATTGGTAAGTGTGACATATTATATCAGCTTACATGTAGCGGCAAAACGACTGGTCTTTGATGTGAGCCCGCAAGATGGTCATGTGATAATTGTCAGCGGATGTCTGATTTTGACAGCTGTCAATCTAATCTTACTCATACGGATGGCTTACAAAACTGAAAGGCTAGTCAAGTTGTACAAGATCTATTGTGACATTTGACATCGGCTTGCATGAAGTGTGTGTACGGGTGGGCGGGCGGGCGGGCGTACGCTACGTCATAAGCAAATTTTCTCGGATGGATAGTTTACCAAATTTTGTTACCCATGGTGCTCCGCTGCGCGCGCTTCGCGCGCGGGAGCTCCGCTAGAATTGGACTCGGATCAACTCGGAGCAATCAAAAAAATTAAATTAAATCAGCAAAACTGAAAGTTCAACCCATTTGGAGGGTTAAAAAGGCCAGATCATCCTTTTTTTTCTCCATGGCTTTCAGGCGCCATTTTGTTTTACTAGTGCCAGTTCGTCTCTGATCATGTTATAAACTCGTAGTTGTGGTTCGGAAGTAAAGAAATGATAGTTTTCAGTCGCCTAGCTAGAATGTATATATTTGCTTATTTATTAGACTACTGAATTATTTATGAGACAAGCATCAAAAGCCTGGTCTGTTGATCGCATTTAGATAGTTACCGAAGAGTGTTTGTTTGTTTGTTCCTCTTTGGGTTTTTTTCTGCAGGACTTCTGAAACTTAATTTTAATGATACACTAGTGAGCAGCACACATACATGTCCAGTGAACATTTTCAACTTGGAAGGAGGAGAAACCATGCTCGCCCGGGACAAAGGAAATTTCCATGCCCCAGGCAAGAATCGAACTCGCGACCCTCCGGTTCAGTGATTTGAACGTCCCATAAACATGTAGTATTCGGAGGGTCGTGAGTTCAATTCTCGCCCAGGGGACGAAAATTTTCGTTGTCCCGGGCGAGCATGATTTCTCCTCCTTCCAAGTTGAAAATGTTCACTGGAAGTGTATGTGTGCTGCTCACTAGTGTATCATTAAAAAAAATAAAAATAAAATTAATTTCCGCAACCACGAGTTCGTGAGAAAAAAACAAAATGGCGGGTGAAAGTTAAGTGATACCGACTGATTTTATTTTTCTTTTTATAATCCGAGTTGTTTTTTTTTTTTTATGATCCGAGTTGATCCGAGTCCAATTTTATTTTATTTTTATTTTTTTATTTGATCCGAGTTGGTCCGAGTCGATCCGAGTTGATCCGACCCGGACTGGCGGTCCGAGTTGATCCGGTCCGACTTTTGTACCTGCCTTTTTAAATAGACTCTTCCGCCCACTCAGACCGCATCAGCTGTAGGTGGTCTTCACTTGTCAATCAAGACTGGTGTTACAGCCCGATACATTTATTGTTTTTCTTGCGAATACGCTAAATCGAAATTTCTCAGATCAAAAATTAAAATTTTGTATACATTATCTTACTAAAAACCTAATGTAAGACTTTCAGACAACAGAGAGCGGGAGAAGTATTCATGTACAATGAGTTTATTTACGGCTTTAAAACATGATTTCAGCGTGTAGGTGACAAAAAAATATCGCTCATTTCGATGGAAATCCGTTTCAATACAGATCGTTAACTCAAGCAATGAAAATGCACAACAATTGAAGAGAAAATTTACTATTCGGTGATTGAGTGCACCTCGTCAATAGCGATAGCTGCAACTTGCTTCCAAGCTTTCCTTTTTGAAGTCCTTTTGTCCATTCCTTAGACAACCACGATTTGGGACTGCAGTGTACAATTCCACAGCTTCCACTTTTAACGGCTTCATTCACATCTTCTCCCATCATTGCCGCCGATACTCCGATTTTGTTCAAATGTTCCACTTAGTCTTTCATGATGGCAATCAACGAAGCTACCACAACAATCGTAAATGGCATTCTATCCTGCCTTCATTCCAACGCACGCTTTATTGGAGGAAAAAGCTGGAAAATAAGACCTTTTCCAAAGCCAGTGAAATTGCGGAGACACTTATCCTACCGACTACGTGTTTTAAACAGTTTCTTTGCTCTTCGCGTTTAGCCTCCACGTTTGGAAAGTCTCTCAGCGCTGTGTCTGAGATTTTTATTGTCCTGCTGTAATTTGTAATAATTGTCATAATTTGCAATAGCTGTCGTAATTTGTAATAATAAGCATTGTTTATACTTTTCAATCAAAAGGCTTGTTTTTTGAGTGGACTTTGATCGTCAAGGGGACAGTACAAGGTTGATCTGGAAGGACACAATGAAGGATTTCAGCTCTTTTTTAGGATCAACCTGTTAATTACCTTTTGGAATGAAAATTTTAAATGAAAAACGAAGGTAATCTGAGCGAGTGATCTCAGACTCCTGCAAAGAGTTTCAAATTTAGCGAAAGTTTACAAAAATGATCAGTCATTCGGACCATCTATCAAGTTCTAGTATGCCCTGCTGTGGTATAAGACAGGTGATGAATATAGAGAATACTTCATGGAAAGTGCTGGCGTACGGTATTTACGCACGAGTTGTTGACGTATCAGAAATCGAACGAGTGAGCGCAGCGAACGAGTAAGATTTCTGATACGCCGCTACACACTTACCGCAAAATGACAACGAAAACGAAGTATCAGCTTTTTAGTAAAAACGTTTGTTAAAAACATAAATGACGGTAAGGATATGGGGTAATCCAAGAACTATAAGTTATCTTAACTGTTTGTTCTCAATCCACGATTGAAAATGAGTGAATTTAAGTAAAATGGCCGGTTTCAATATAAGCTTAAGCTTAAATGAAAGGCAAAGTAGCTCCGACAAAAAGAACAACAAAAGCTTACGTCTTGTTCTGTTTTTCCCTTTCTGCTGTTGTTTCGCCGGCTCTCCACCGTTTTCTTTATCGACAGTGAAACAAACAAAACTATTCCACTCCATTTCCGAAATGTTTTTCACTTTTTCAGCGAGAAAAATTCTTTGAGTAAAACTTTTCTCGTTGAATGTGTGTGAAGCGGCGCTGCAAGCTGCAATAAAGGCGGGAATTTTGGCGCGAAACTCACACACCTCTGTGGCTTCTGATTGGACGTATCATTTTTCTCACACGTGAAAAAACATCGTTCGCGATTCTGATTGGACGTATCATTTTTTTTTCACGTGTGAAAACCATCGTTCGCTCCTCTGATTGGCTGGAACTAATTTGCGTACGAAAATTTACGACATAGCTTTTTGGTGAGTATTTCTCAGTATGTATATAATAAAATTTTATACGCCTAAGTTGCTTTGAATGATAGTTATGGTAATAATAATGATTATGATAAAAATAGGAATAAATAAATCCCCTAATACTTTTTTATGCTGTTTCGCGTCTTATTCAGCAACCCTTACTGAGGGTTGGAACAATTTTGGATCAACCTCCCTCCTTCTATTGGTCTTTGTTCCTTATAGTTTACATGTTCCTTCGTGTAAACATTCAAATCGCGGGTGTGGTGTTGCAGAGGGTGTGATTGTTTCAACTGTTTATTATTTAATTATTTCAAATTTTACAAGCAATATCCACTGCCCGCAGTTAGTAATTAGTCGAAGCGAGCAGCGGCTACGCGTATTTTGTATAATTCTAACATAATACTAAATAATCTCTGCTGGACAAGATTTAAAAGACACCGAACCTGAATGCATAAGTAAAACCATAAGAAAACATCGATAAATTTTATTGTTTTTCGGTGGATAAGACATTAAAAAATGAGACACTAACTTAAACTACTAAAAATTGGACAGGTTTATACAACTTTATAGGGACTCATTTTCAAAGTGATGAAAAATTTCTCGAAACATCATTCTGATATAACAATGATATTCCTTTTAAAAAAGTAATAATTATTCACCACAATTAAACAAATTCCAATGATTTTAATCATTCATGTCCTATTGAAGTTTTATGACAAATTTTTTGAAATAAAAGTTAGCTTAATTCAAACGCGTTCCGACAGTAAGAAAACAAGTCTATTTTCTGCAACTCAACATTGTTTTACCTTAAATGTGCTTCTTTTCTCCTTCAACGTTCAGCCATGCATTGGGGCCTTTTTTGCTTGAAATATTCTACGAACTACTCAGTTTAACGCAGCGCCACAGCACTACACAAAATCTCCCAAATTACCCTAAAGAGTGGGCCCAGCGAGCGCCTGTTGTAAATAATATAACAGGTAAAATTGAGTGAAAAAATTAAGAAATATTTTTACAAGTTAGATCCTCTGTTTATTACAAATTACGACAAAGTTATTACGAATTACTACAACTTTGCTTATTACAAATTACGACGAAGTGTTGTTACAAATTACGACAGCTTTTGTATAATTACGAATTGCGACAACATTATTACAAATTACGACAGGTATTACAAGTTACGACAGAACATTTATTTCATATCTTACGAAATCATTAAAACTGTGATCTTTGGAATACAAACAAAGCAGCTTTTCGGGCCGGAAGAAGGCGTACGCGCCCAGTTACCCGGGACATCTGCTTACAAGAGGTTAAACTTGATGTAAACTAATTATTGACGTATGGTAAGTTTTGAGTAATTCACTATTTTTTTTTCCATAGCTATCACCCACTGGAACCCGAGCAACCCTAAGAGCCACCTGCTCGGCGGCTTTCATTACAACACCCAGAGTGGGGTCCTTACAGTTCCATATACTGGACGCTACTACGTCTACGCCCAGGTCTTCTTTGTCGCCAGGCCATTTCTGTCAAAAAACCGCGTGCTCGTCATGGCAGGCAACAGAGTTCTTCTCATGATCCACAAGGATTTGCTAGGAGATCCAATTGAAGAGACCGGAACTGCTGGAGGGGTGTTTGTATTGTCTGCAGGCGAGCAGATCTCCCTGAAGCCTACAACATATGATACCGCGCTGTGGTTCGGTCCAAATCATTGCTATTTTGGAGCATATATGGTCTCCCCTTAGGAGTAATACTAGTAAATCAGACTTATTTCTTGGTCATCAAAATAAAATGCTAAACTTAACGAGCACTTTTGAATTTTTATCCCGGGATTATGGCTGGGAATCGGCCGGTTCTTCTCTTGCGCATGATATTTTTTCCCTTACTTTACAATCTGAAAACTAAGAGCCATGCAAGAATGATATGAAAGGCGAGTAGCGCATAGTCTCTGTCTCAGCAGCCAAATAGGTTCTAGGAGACGTATTTTATTCAGTAGATAATTCCACTGATTTCGTTTTTATTCTTATCTGGGCCAACATAAAGTGGGAGTCTTAAGCGAACGAGACACGAGTGCTTGTTTCTATAGACGCCAATGTAACTTCACGCAATACTGCGCCAAACGTAGAAACAAGGCGCGGGATGCATACGTCAAATCAATGATGGCGGTCCACAAGTAATAAGAGCTACGTGCGGAGCAAGAGTGCCCAAGCTGAGGCTACTTTTGTTCGATATTTTCGCTCTGTTAACACGAAACTGACGAACCATGTTGAATTTTAACTTTTCTCAGTGGTTTTTGCCATCTTTCCATGTTCAGTAAATTGAGAATGAAGTCTCCCAGCTGAATAAACATGCATCCGTGCAATGACGCCCTTGCCTTTTCAAGTATTTTTAACAAATAAGTTCATATTCTAATGTGGTGTATATAACCTTTACTTAATGTATACAAAAATGTACATAGTGTATTTTATTATTGTTATTATTATTATTGTTGTTATTCTTGATCTCAACAAGCGGGAATTTCGTGAGGCTGTGAGGCTTCGATATGATTGGCCGATACCCGATAACCCGTCAGTGTGCGTTTGTGGGAGCATGTTTACAGTAGATCACGCGATGATCTGCCAGCGTGGAGGCTTAGTTATTCAGCTCCACGAGGAGCCCATAACCCGGAGCGTTCGACTGCCATAAATTCGTGCAACGGCGTTTTTACAAGTGAGTTTATTTTTAGATAAGCTTTTCCCGCGAAAAATAACTGTTCGACGAGGTCAATTCCTCCAATTGATCGTCGTTTAGACTGTTAGTAGCTCGCTTGGACCTTTTCACAGTCGGCTATTTCGAAGATGATTTCGATTTAATTCCCTTTACGTGAATTATGCGTTGTCGCCGATGAAGTGGACGTCCTGGCTAGGTTTAGCAAATCTTGCTCTGAACTGCTAGTTTCCGTGTAAATACTGAAATTGTCGCTTGAAGTACTGTCAGAAGACTCCTCTGAAGATTCCTCACGTGTAACCGCCTTGTTTTTTTCAATGTGAAGGAGTTGTCCTAGTTACGTATTAAAAGTTTATTGTTGATGACGCAATTGCTAGTGATTGGCTTTTCGAAAGCAATTCGCGGGAAAGGCTTATCTAAAAATAAACCTACTTGTGAAAACGCCGTTGCATAGGCGCAGTATAGAAGTTAGACGCTCCGGGTTATGGGCTCCTGGTTCCACGATGAACTACGCGATCTACAGGCCGAGCTGCTTGACATGGTTTGTTGCGATGTGCAAGTTGAACCGGCATTACAACCTATTACAGGCGAAGAGCTTGCCAGAGGGACTAACCAAGCCCCTGATGCACGCCTTGACGTCCACTGTAAGGGTTTCTGGGAGCGACAGAAGGCTACATTTTTCGATAAAAGGGTGTGTCATCCCAATGCGGACTCGTATAGAGATCTTAGTCCCAAGCAAATCTACAGGATTCATGAAAATGAAAAGAAGCAAAAATACAACTCTCGCGTCACAGAAATATAGCAAGGCACACTCACCCCACTGGTATTTACAACGACGGGAAGGATGACTGACGAATGCCTGAGATTCCACTCAAGATTAGCCGAGCTATTATCTGCAAAAAAGCAAGAGAGCTACACCACAACAATTTCATGGGTCAGGGCGAAAGTCCTTTGCAATCTTGCGGAGCGCGCTCCTTTGCCTAAGGGGATCGAGAACCCCGAGAAGGAGGAACTTAGATGTTAAGGACAGGGATCTAGAAATAGAGAAGAGTCAAGCAGGACTTCCCTAGACTCAACAGCTATAGATACTTCATTATTGGGATGTACATAGAAACTTTCATTTTTTAGTTTATGGACAGTTGTTTACATTTGCTCTGTTGAAAACCACCAGGCCCCAGTTGTTCAAACGTTGGATAGCGCTATCCACCGGATGAGTCTCTATCCAGTTGATAGTGCAATTGGTTTCCCTAATATTTATCCACTGGATAGTGATTTATCTAGTGGATAGCGCTATCCAGCTTTTGAACAACTGGGGCCTGGTGGTAGTACCCAGACCCTTGCATCACAGCTAGATCGCTCGACCCCGCTCGTTTCAACGCACCTAGCTTCTTACGTCCTGCTACCCAGACTCAACTACAGCGTTAAACGTGAATTATCTGAAGTACGCGCCTTAGCCCTAACAACATTCTTAAACAGCTTCAATCGCTTGACGTTAACAAAGCTTCCCTTGGTCTTTCCAGTAAGTTATTGGAAGCATGTGCTAATGAAATTTCACCTTCATTATGCAGATTATTCAATTTGTCTTTAGAGCTTGGGACATTTCCTGAAAAATGGAAAGACGCAAATCTTGTCCCTATTCATAAATGTGAGTCTAGGACGATGGTTTCAAACTACCCTAGTATTTCGCTTCTTGATGTTCTATCTAAAATTTTGGAAAGACATGTCTGTAATGAGATCTTTGGTATTATATGCCCCCATCTTACCCACTGGCAACATGGTTTCCTACCAGGAAAATCCACCGTGTCTCAACTATCTCAAAATGTTCATCAATTCGCTAACGCTCTTGAGAGGAGACAACAAGTTGATGTTATTTATTTAGATTTTTTCTAAGACTTTTGATCGTGTGTCTCACGAAAAACTCCTATTTAAACTTGAATGCCTTGGTATTGGTGGATCCTTGTTAGCTTGGTTTAGATCATATTTATCGGGTAGAAGACACAGAGTCATGATAGGTAACAAGTCGTCTGATTACCTCCCTTTTACATTTGGAATCCCGCAAGGGTCAATTTTGGGGCCTTTACTGTTCTTGCTTCTTATCAACGATGAGCCTAATGCAATTTCAAAGGAAACATCGTTACCCCTCTTTGCTGATGACTCAAAGTGTTTTCGCTTAATTCTTGGGCGGGATGACGGCGACAAATTGCAGGATGACTTGAATAAGTTATGGAGTTTAATGGCAAGAAGTGTAAGGTTTAAAGGGTGGCTCGTATAAGATCAGTCGATGAAAGGGACTATTACCTTGGTGGGATTAAGTTAGACCATGTTGATGTTGAGAAAGACCAGGGGGTTTTGGTTAGCCACAATTTAAGCTGGAATAATCATCTTATTTCCTTGAAAGCTCAAAGAATGCTTAATGTCCTTTACCGAACATGCAAGGACTTAAATGATATTACTACAAAGAAATTACTTTATATTACCTGGGTTCGTTCGCGCCTTGAATATGCCAGCGTGGTATGGTCTCCTCATACCAAACGAACTCCATCGACAATTTGGAACAAGTTCAAGGCAGGGCTACAAGATTCGTTCTTGGAAGGGATTATTCTGGTTATGAGCGCCTTAGTAGGTTAAATTTATTACTTTTGAAGTATCGCAGAGAAATAAATGATTTCAGGTTTTCTTTTTTAAAGTGCTACTACGACGAAAATTTTTGTTTTTGTTTCCGAGTTTTTTTAACATAAATCTTTTGTATATGTTCAAAATTATACAAATAGCGAAAAATTGGAACGATACTTGCGTACGGGGGCTGGAAATTTCACACTGAAAAGTGCGTAAATACCGTCCGCCATTACAAAGTTCGCAAAGCAATAGCCCGCGAGATCTCCGCAAAGCGGTCGTGCGTTTGACCACGTGATTTATGCACTGTGACGTAGAAACATCAACCAAAAGATTCGCATTTGGGAAAAGTTTGTGAGTTTAGAGCCTTTTAACAAGACGTTTAAGATGTCATCTCCGTCGGATTTCTCTTCCTGCACATCTGAAAGTGATCTAGAAAGTTTTACAGTTGACGAAGTGATGGGGGAATTGTCTGAATTTGCGCCGTACGACGACAGTTGCGAACCCCTTGCTACCGAGGAAGAAGCCGCGGACTACAACGAAAGAGTTCATCGCGAAGAAGAAGAGGAACAACAGTTTCAGCGAAGATATTCGGGAGAGGTGCCAGCGAATGAATGGTATTGTATTATCATGGATTGTAGATTTATATTTTTATTTTCCAATTTCAACATACCCGTCGTTAAATCGTGCGCGTGAGGAACGCGACTGTGTGTTTTGTTTAAGTTTACAATTTCGTTGCTATGTGATTAACTGTAGTCCTGATTTTATGCGATAGTTTTATTGAAGAGGTCAGACAATTAATAATTTTATACAGACGTATTTTTCTTGTGTTTGACGAATTTTTCACATTATTTTGTAGGTGTTCGTGCTCGAACTGCTCTGTCAGCCTTGTTACAAAAGCGCAGGAGTGTATTTGCTGCAAAGACAGGGCTTCTGATATTTCGCGGAAAAAAAAGCAAAATTTCGCGGGATTTTCAGGGGCAAATTCGCGGAAAAATCGGCCGATTTCGCGGGATTTTCGCGGGAAAAAAGTCAAAATTCGCGGAACAATCGGCCGAGTTCAGGCAATTTTCGCGGGAGAAAAGTCAAAATTCGCAGAAAAATCGGCCCATTTCGCGGGTTTTTAGCGGAAAAAAGTCAATTTTCGAAGGATTTTCAGGGGCAAATAATTTCCTACGAATTTCTTAGGAGAATTAGCCGATTTCACGGGAAATTTCGGGGGGAAACTTTGCCAAGAAACAATCAGTAAAAAACAGCCGATTTCGCTGGATTTTGTTGGCAAATTTCGCTAAAATCGATCAATTTTGCGTCGATATGACCAGCGTTGGTGAACGTTTTTCTAACAGGGATGATCATTTGCTCGTTCAACAACAGTTCGCTCAAGAAATGAGCAAATGTTAAAGCTATTTACATTATGGTTAGTGCCCAGTTTTTCGCAACGTTCATCTAAAAACGCCTGGTACTTTTGGGACATTGTTTACTCGTTGCAGTGACGAAGTTTCAAGCTAAATTTGGACGTTTGGGGTGAATAAAACCGGTCTAATAGCCAAGATAAGTATTAAATATGTTTTGCCGACATGTATTTGGAAATATTTCTGGCGGATTTCGCGGTATTTCGCGTTTTGCGGGGAATTTCGCGGGATTTCGCGGAAATACCTGAATTTCGCGGGTCCGCGACCGCGCGAAATATCAGAAGCCCTGCAAAGAGATCGATCGCTGCGAAGAGGTCATGGAAGAAGCCATTGGAGACCGGACCTTATGCATAACCCTCCATCCAGGGTTTGAAAGCGTCTGCTTAAACCGCCACGTATTAGAAGTGGCTGCACTGGGCCTAAAAACGCGAGCTGGAAAGTGGTACACAACTGTTCGTGGGCAAAGCAACAAAAGTGATAATGAGTAAGTTGGGGTATTGTTGACTTTGTATCGGAACGATCGAACCGTACATAGCACTGAATAATTGATACATCTAAGTTTATCGCCGTGGACTGATCTCATAGAATCACATTTTTTATTTTCTAAATGGCTTTATTGTCCCAACTGCTTATTTTTAAAAGGAGTATTAATTTATCTCCATCCAATCCCTCCTTGAATTAACAGTGATCTCATTTCTCTAACTAGATTCCTGAGGTCTGTGGCCTATCGCCAATTTACAAGACTGCTGTGGAGTTATATTGGTAGTTCCAGGCGATACCCCTTGCCCTGTTGTGCCTACAATAAAATCAGGAAACAATTTCCGAGTCAAAATGGCCATTATCGTGGATTCGAAGATGAAGAAAATGAATAATAAATGCACTGTTTGTTCTTGAAGAGTGTCATGTATGCCATTGGGGCTAAGAAGGACCTACAGTAGTTGCGTGAATACTTGTCCGTAAACACTTAATTTTATGGGCCAAACTTCAGAATTCTCAGCCACTTACTCGCTTTTTGTTGAATGACAAACTTGCCCACTGTGTGAAGCCCTGTTCTTCAAGCGCTCAGTTAAACTCAAGTTTAGTGGCTGGGAATTCTGATGTTGCTCCAATTTTCATGTACACAAGTAATAAAAATTAAATCGAATTCAGCCTGAATTTAATTACAGTTTTAATGTATCGTTTCTTTCTTTTCACTCGGCTCACAGAGCACTGCAAAACTTAATAGCAGGTTACCTGCTGGAAACTTTCCTAGCAGGTCTGGTTGACTCTTCCAGACTTTTGTCTGGCTACAGTTTCTGCAGAAACTTTCTACGGTAAACAAGGTACCTGTCTGTGATACAGAAAGTTTGGGTTTTGAAAAGAAGCACAAGTGGCAGAACTGAAACAAAAGAAGAAGTTTGGAAAGGAAAACAATTCCCTTCGGTTCCTCTCGAATGTTTTTTCCTTGTAGATCCAACCTGTAAAAAATGATTGAAAGGAAATACTCATTTAATCATAGCATCTGAAATAATAAAATAACAATAAAAAAAAATTTATCATTTTTATTGTTTTTCTCAGGGTGTTACCAGTTTTTCAACTTGTTGTAAACCTGGCTAATCGTGGGTTGGGATTTTATTCTCACATACATCCTGAAAAATGCTTTTTTATAATAATTCTGTTGATTGCACACATGACAACTTTGAGCCCTTAAGCTACCTAGCCCACCCCAACAATGCATAATTTATTACAAGTGGTTGAGTGGACAAGCCAAACATTTTTAGGCCTGGGACTTCCAGTCTATGGGCTGGCTATGCCTCTTCTTTTTTTTCTTTTTTTTTTTTTGCAATTCTTATCTGAGTAAATTAAAAACAAATTTCATGTACTCTTGTTTCTAAATAGATCCTCTCATAATGGAAGTTAGTTTTAGGCCTAAATCACTTCCCAGAGGATACTTAGAGCTACGATGTTAAAATGCAATAAATTTTGCATCTTTGTACCTTGGGTTCTGATGAGTCTTCACCGAGTCATCATCTTCCTTTAGTTTTTTATATGTATCTTCGATTTCTTCAGGACTCCATTTAGGGTCTTCATCACACTCAAACTCCTCATACGCCGTCCCCCTGCATTTCCTGCTCATCTTCTGATTCATCCTCTAGCCCTAACTCTGTCTCATTTGTTACTGGCCATGGATCAGTTTGAATAGCTTAAACAAATGGAATTAAAAAAATTCTATTACCATTAAAATTTTAATTATTATTAAATAATCAAATATTGATAAAATGTAATAAAAATATAAAGATAGGCAGTTATGCCTATATGACTCATCAACATCAATAATTATTGTTGACTCACCAGCATTCACCATCAGCAACTGCTTCGGCTCTTGTATGCTCTTAAAGGTTTCAACCCACTGATCTTGATTGGAGATTAACTTACTTGTGACTTTGCCCCTTAACTGAGTCACCTTACTCCACAGGGTTTTGCATGTTGTGCAGTTCCCAGCATGTCCAGTTGGAGTATCCTACAAAAAACAAACTTTCGACATTAATACAGGCTGTAATAACAAGACTTCAGAATTTTTGTGTTTTAGTATTGTTGTAAAATAACTGCACATGTAGTTTTCCATTGTTATGATAATACAAAGATGCAAATAAACATTAATTAGAGTTATGCGCCTACCATAGAAACCTGTTCAAGTTCAGGAATCGTTAATGATTCATCAATCTGCATAACTTCATCCATAACCTGCAGTTTTTCGATTCCCTGAGCCTCCAGGATCTGCATGGTCTCAGTAACCTCATCAGTGCCGGAAATCCCTTGGCTCTCGAGAGTTGTCTTATCACCAGGAGTACCTAGGACCTCTGAAGCCATCTCGGCATCAACACTTATCTCACCCGTCTCAGTCTCAGGGATGCAGCCCTCCTTTTCAGGATTTACCTCAAGCAAAGAACCCTGACTTGTGTTCAGAACACCCTCGACTTCTGGAGACTCCTCAGGGTTGAGATTGGGAGCCCCCATAGTGTCAGCACTCTCCTCAGGTGCAGAACTTCCTTTCAAAGAGATCACCTCTTCTTCAGGATTGTCTTCTTCCTCTGTATCCTCATTAGTAGTTTGACCAGCCAGAATTTCATTTAGTAGCTAAAAATGAAAATAGGTACGACCATTTTGTATATCTCCCCTTCAAAACAAGTTTAAATTTGAGCTTTATGTCGATGTTTTCAAAAGTAGAAATGGAAGCAAGGTTTAACCGCATCTTTGCCTTAAAATGTATGCATCATTTGCAGACAGTGAAAATAGAATTAAAATACAAACGAAAAAAACTCGCAAACAGTAACTGAACTTATAGAATGTAGCAATCAGACTAAGTCCATTTTTGGTCGTTTTAAAAGACTCGCGTGTAACTCCTAATTTGCTGTAAGATTTCTTGGAGGGAAGTTTGGAGTACTGTCAAATCTCAAAGTAACAGCAAGATAATCTCTCAAAAAATAGAGAGCCGGATTTCTATGTAGCTTCACTTTTTCTAAATTTTACGCTTGAGTGGAAAGGTCTGGGAATTGGGGAATTGACTTCACGTCCACTCAGCGCAAATGCCCGTTTTACTACAACTATGAGAAGAAAGCAGAAAAGTATGAAAACACATGCAACAATATGGGAAGTCCAAATAGTCAGAGCATTCATTACACGGATATTGAACAACGATGCCAGAAAAAATCATGTCACAGGTAAATGGGGAAATAAATATAATGGTGATAAGCATAGCACAAATACATTGTAATTTCACTCACCGATCGTCGACTCCGCTTTGATAGTGTTTGAGAGGATTTTTTCCAAATGGTTGGAAACGTCCCCTTCTTCAAATTCCTTTTCATGCCTTTCATCGGAAAAGCAAGCGTAAAACAATCCCTTGTAAAATGCTCCGAGCACACAGCAAATTTTCCCACTGTGTTGAAATCCTTCCGATGAATGGACACGAACCTTTTCCACTTTAATCTAACGCTGCCCGAATCAGGAGAATTCATCGTTCTTTACGTTTCCACAGTCCTGAACAACACAACGTCTACCAGGCATAGTTTCGCTTTACGTCAAAAAAGCGAAGAAAGAACCTCCAAAAGCTTCCAAAAATATCTCGTCCTGCACGCGAAATTAGCCTCGTTTGTTTACCTTGTTTTGTCGCGTTGATTTTTCTACGTCACATCTCGCCCCAACTCCTTCAAATACTACTCCCGGTCATTTTTTGAATCGAGTAATGGCGGCAAGACATTTACGAAAATTGCCGTGCAAATAAACACACTTCCAGATCATATTTGGACTCCAAACTAGGCACGGTAAGTTACTTTTACATACATTTTCGAAATACGTAATAAAAAACAAATTCCCAAATTTGATCGTAGTAGCACTTTAAGTGTCTTAAGAATATATATAAGTTAAACATTTTCGATTATGTATCGTTTCGCTCTTGTACCAGACCGCTTAGGAATGTTGATCATTTAACGCTTGATGTCCCTTTCAGCAGGACTGGCGTTTTTTGTTCTGATCTGTCGCCTGTGGAATGAATTACCTCTTAATATAAGAGAGTCAAATACCGTGTCAATCTTCCGTAAGAATTTGATGGCCTTTTATTATGATAAGTTTAATGTAAATTTTCCCTAATTTTACATTGTACTGTCCTTTACTATTTCATTTGTCCATTTATGGAAATTGTTTTTGAAATTTTATTTTTTATGTCATGTCTTCTGTAAATTTTTTCATAATACTTTTTACCATAACGTTTTAGATAATTTTTTTACTTAATTAATTCTCTAGATCTATTTATGATGTAATAATAGGTGGCTTATTTTTAAGTAGTCCAGTCAATGCAAATTGTCATTTAACATCAAACTAATTGTAACATAATTTTTTTCAAAGCCATTTAATAGTTGTTTGGCTACTTAACAACATACTAAAAATCCGCCAAAATCCTTTCGGTGGAATATGGAAAAAATTGGCAATAATGAATTATAACTTTCAGCACAGGAAACCCAATTTTTGAAAAATCACAAATTCAGACAAAAGATGTGATAATTGTGTTATTTTTCTTAAGAATCTTAGATAGAACATCGTATTTTGGGTAGTTTTGTTTCTAAAAGCACCGACTAAATGTGTGAAAAAACTGTTGCTCAGTGTTTCTTTTTGACGGCTTTGCACAGGTTACCCAGCCACGCGTCTGTCGCTAAGCTTAATTTTTTTCTATGACGGTATTTAAAAGGGAAATTATTATTTATTGGTTAAAAAATAGTAAAAGCAGAAATGCAGAACGTATTATTTCAGTTTTTATGGCTGGTGTTAAATATATCTAATCAAACTATTCACCTTCAGTCAGCTACTAAATTAATGCACCAACGCTACATGATACATGCGATAGGAGCCGATTACTACTGACGTGCGAATAAATGTGTGCAACGGACGATGGCTTTGTGTCAGTACAAACTGTTTCAACTATTGCCATTTTCTGTAATTGAGTTTTATGAAGTAGCTATGTTTAAACCTTGGACGCCCGATATGTGTGATCGAAAACCGGGATTCTTTTTTCTTTCTTGCGATTCGCTCATCTTCCTTGCGGATTATGACTCCGTACCTTACAATATGAGCGAATAAATATTCTGGTTAGGACTCCGTCTATTTTATTTTTTGCTAGATCGGAACGCTGGGCGCTTTTCATTACACCTGGCAGACTCTGTCGCAAAGGAATTGCTGAAAACCAAGTGCAGTGTGATTGTTTTTTTTCTGTCTCCTTCCTGTGGAGAGTCTCAGATTTAGTTTAGCTGTGTGTACATTTCTTGGTAAGAAGAATAAGTAGATTAATCCCTTGTGGTCTCAAGGCTTTTATATTTCCTGCTTACATTTCTTTTGTGAG